GGCGCGTCCTCGACTCTACGAACGTCTCTAAGGTACTCCTGGAACGCTGCGTCCAGGAGTTCTCGTGCCTCGAGGTAGACCCGACTTCGGCGCCAACCTCGATAAGAGCGGGAGCGGTTTCCCCGAAAACTCACTGCGGATCGATTTTTGTGAAAATTCGCGAAGTGGCAAAAGAGAAAAGAAAGGGAGGAACTTACTGTTATTTGGCAGAGCGGTGAGACTGGATATTTAGCCCTCGGTCCTTTGGTCTCGGTTTGGCCTCTCCAACGGCGCACTGATTTTAATGTCTTTAGTATGGTAAAAAAAACGCACTGAGTTTAAAACCTTTTCCGACTTTCTGAATTTCTATTTCTCTGACTTTCCTACTGTTCTTTATTTTTACTCCTCTCTATTTTTCCTTCTCTAGTTTTTCTTCTGACTCTATTTTTCTGACTCTAGTTTTTCTCTCTGCTCTCTATTTTTTCTGACTTGTGTCTCGCGATGTCGCGGTTTATATAGGGATAGTTTTAGGGGGAGGTTCCATGGTAGGGTGTGTCTAATTGAGAAATTAAGGAATCAGGTTTACGGGATTCTAAGGTGATACAATTTTGATTCGTCGTTGGAAAATTGCCTTCCGGTTAGCTCCGCCCGCTATGTCATTTTTTATTCGTTCTCACGTTGAACGATAGATATCTCTGGATTAGTTAATCGAGAGTCGCGGTTCGTGATTTTTCTCAGTGTCGGAAAATGTCATTACTAGATTTATAACCCTATCTTAAGCCTAAGCGTGGGACCATTATCGTTGGGCCCGCGTGATATCGGTGTGAGATGGTTAAACATTTCATCTTCTTTCGAGCGTCGGTCCGCGCTATCACTCTTGTTATCGCGGGGATTATTTCGTGGCTTGGCTTAGCCTTGGTTCCAACGCTGTTTGATGTTGATTTTCGTTTTCCACGATGCTCAAAAAGAGGTTTGATAGTCAATGCTACGAAAGAGTTTTTTATCGTGGATCTTTCGATTCTAGGCAATCATTTCGAGACCTGGCTTAGCGCCTTGGTACCAACGCTATTTGGTGATTATTTGATATTGACTTTCATTTTCTACGATGCTCGAAAGGAGATTTAATGTTTGATTATTGGCACTATGAAATTTTATTGCGGGTCTCTCGATTCTAGGCAAACAAGATTTTGTGGCTGGAAACTTCTCTCGGATTTGTGTTATCACTTGGATTTGTTCATATCTTACTTCGTTGATTGAACGGTCGCGAAACGAAGAAATCGTGGAGTCCACCGGACGTAACATAATAATACAAACCAGTACCGTCAAAATAGACATTTCTGGCGTTCATTTTGCCATTACAGTCAAGACAAACGCTTTTGATATTTTTGTCAGTATCGTCTGATTAGACGTCTTTGAGATTTATTCTATCAGTACCGTCGAAATAGACGCTTCTGACATTTATAACAAACAATAACATGCATATAATAATACAAACCAGTACCGTCGAAATAGACGCTTCTGATATTTATGGCAAACTATTACACATGCGTATGATACTACGAATCAGTACTGTCAAAATAGACGCTTCTGGCACTATTGAAATACTACATGGTTACATATTATATACAATCAGTTTCGTGTTCAATATAGAGACAAGCAAGACTGCGTTCTTATCT